CCCCAAAACCCCAAAACCCCTTTGTCTGAAATTCTTATATAGGGTAGTAATGAAATTAAGAATAAATAATTGGTATTCGACTCAAATTTCATAGATCAAATTGTCTGTATTACTTCATCGTTTCTCCTACAATTCCTGTGAGTATCTTGAACTTCTTGATAGTTCCACTTTTGTTTAATTTTGATTCTTCATTCATAGGCTCAATTTCTAATTCTGAGTTATCTTGATTAATAGCCATTTAATAAAGAGTCCTTGAATTATCTCTGATAACTTTAACTTGGCTTGTTCTACACTTTTCCAGTTTCTTATTTCTTTAAAATACTTTATTCCATCTACGATAAGCTGTTTATTCTACATTTAATTTAGGCATAGATGTCTGTTCATGAGGAATCTTAAGCATAATATCTTGTTCATCATTTTGAACTGATGTTTTATTTGCTATGCTAGTTACAGTTTACTTTGAATCTGTCTTTACTAAGTTCATATGATTCATTGAACGACTAAAGTACTCCCTCTAGTTTCCATAATTTACGCTTAGTTTAAAGTTAGCCCCACTTATAACCTGTATTAACTTTTTATCTTTTGCTGCTTACTTTCGTCTTTAAATAATTAACTGTTAGTGTCTATTTTAATTGTCATTTATATTCCTTTTTTACTCCCATTCATTTTTAAGCATGAGTTTCTTAGCCCATTCTTCTTTAGTTTCATTCTTACTAGGATATTAATTCATTTCACTCGCTAGATTCAAATACTTCTCGAGCTACTCAATCTTTTCTAAAGGCATTTTATGCTTTTCCTACTCAATTGTCAGTCTAACTTTTCTTTCTGATAAAACTTTTTTTGTAGATGGATAAATCTTATTTAAAGAGTATCTGAGTTTTTAGAGTTACTTTCGAGGATATTTATCTTGAAGCATTGTAAAGTAAATTCTACGAATTTCTTCCACATCCAAACTTTCAAAATTTTCACTTAATAATTTAGGATCCGCTTCCATTATCTTTTGAAGTAGAATCTTTTCTTACTAGGCTAGTTATTCAGCTTCTTTCAAGAAATTGGGCTTTTTATCACTAACAATAGTTTCAATCATCTACATTTTAACATTAGGATCAATTATCTCAGAGTTGAAGATATTATTTTTAACTAGGTGCTAAACCTGGCTCTTATCATCTCTCTTGTTGTTAATAATTTTTACAATAAGATCAGTATTTTCTGTGAATTCTCTTCTATTCTTAGCATATATCAATTCTCTTTCTTGATTGAACTTTATATTTTTCTTAGGTATTTAATACTTTTTAGGCATTGCGAGATTTTACTAATTAGATGATACAGTTGGCAATTATTTATAAGATTACTAATTGGAGTACTCTAAAACCTTACGAGCTAGAGAGCCTCTCATCATATCTTTAAGCTCATAATTAGTTTGCTATGTAGCTGATCTGTGATGCAAAGTAGGATAGCTTTGATCTAATTCTCTAGCTAAATTTAGATTCTAAGTATTTATGATTGAAGTCCTTGTTTTATTGTGTGCTTATCTTTAGAATCCATATGTTGCTGTGGTAGATTCTGAAGGTTAAGATTAGTCTATAAATGATCCTTTCATGATAGGAGTAACAAGTCTTTGAGGATCATATTCATCTAACTCACTATCATTATCATGGATGGTTTTTATTACGTTTTACTTATATTCCTTGTCAGATTCTTCAAATTTTGAAACCTCTATTTCATCCTTCTCTATTTGATTGTAGAATTTTTCTATCAAAGACTTGTTAACATTTGGATTAAGATGTGAAACTCTGAGAATTCTTTTTAAAGATCTCTTCTAACTCTCAGTTCTTTCCTTTGAAGATTCATTCCCAATGTGTTTTTATTTTTCCCTTAAAAAATTTTCTTCTTCCTCCTCAACATCAAATGCAATATCATCCTTTTAAGTATCATTAATTTTGCTTTTACCAAATTGTTCCCTAGGTATAAATTCATCAATTTCGCTACTTTCATCACTAAGTTCATAATTAAGATTTTTCTTTTGATTTAAGCGGTTTATAATCATTTGATGCTTTCTCAATTGAGTCTTGTATAAAACTTTTCTCTTCATCACTTTAGAGTCTGAATTGGATATTTATTTAATCAAAAGCTTGTTTGATGCTATTTTATCATTATTACCTAAATCTTCACCTCATAAATCTTCTGCTCTGATATTAACATTTTATCTAATATCAAGTAGCTCTCTTATTGGGAGTTACTCTTTTTTAATTTTTTATTCAGATTTAGAATTTTATGATCCCTTTTGAAGTTAGGATGCGACTTTTATTGCTTTTTGTAGTTTCTTTGTTGATGAATTTAGGTTAGATTTAAGACTGAAATATTCATTTTATATAACCTCACTCAATTACTCGTCTATTTACCGTTGCTTGTTAAACATCTCTAGTTCCAACGGATCCATATTTTGACTTATTTTCTTTTTAGGCTTCTTTAACCTTGGATAGATTTAGCTTGCTGTGTCAAAAGTTGAAAAATTTAGTTTTTTTACTCTCATCGGTGTTCAATTTTAGATATGATTCTTATTTTCCAAAATTTTACTCTTAATAACTTTTTCATCTCTATTATCTATAACGGTTGATAAACTAGAATGTGGTTTTGGAGGTTTATTACTATAAGCCTAACTCTAGCTATGCTTGTGTCTACCCCAGGTTTTTTCTTGAGGAAATAATTCATAGTAGAGAGTATTAAATAGATCATACTCAGTTATCTTACTTCCATTTAAACTGACAAGATTTCTAAAGTTTCCATAAATTCTTGGCACTTTTATATCTTTTATTTTTTGGATGTCCCTAAATTCTTTGTCTGTAAGTTAGACCTTCATTGAATTAGTTTCAGTCATACTTAATATCTAAACCTTATTTTGCTAAAAATGATCGAGAACTCCATGCAATAATAAAGTTTGCAGCACAATAAATGGCTTTTTTAAACTTTCTAATGGGTTGCCTTGAAAATTTAGTTCCTAAAGAAACTGCATAGAGCCTAAAGGCAAAAACTCATCTAACGTTGAAATTTAATTGTGGGCTATAATGAAATGCGTCAAATTTGGACATGCATCAATTAATTACTCAGCTTAAATCTTTTTTATTTTATTGTAGGAAAGATCAAGGATTTTTAGTTGGCTAAAAAACGTTTTAAGAGTATAGCTGACATTAGGCATTCAAGGTTAATCATTATGTGATAAATCTAGTTTATAGAGTTGTAAAATTTAGGATGGAGTTTAAGTTTATTAAATTTAGTTGAGCTATTCATAGCCATCTGCAAAGTAATTAAGCATGACGTCATTTTGCTTAGAACTTGGAACGTTTAAGTTATTAGTAGATATTCTACCTCTTGCCTAAAGTGATTAGTGAATTGATCTATTTTTCATTCTAAATATATTAAATTTTATTCATTTTCTCTTTTTTATTTCCATCAAAACTTTTATAATTCATGTATCAGGGGTTTTGGGGTTTTGGGGTTTTGGGG